TCCGTATACCAATAGTTTCCGATCAATAACAAATGAACGCTGAGGGCCTAGGAAATTCAAACTTGGTATGATGATTGTTCATGACTAGTACATGGCCCCTATTGATTTTGTGGTCAATGTGTCAAAGGACAAGGTCACATATAGGTAAACCCGGTCTCCGATAAATCACTAAAGAATGCTTAGGGCTAGGAACTTCTAACTGGATTTGACCAGTAGATGACCCCTATTGATTTTGGGATCAAGGGGCTAAAGGTCAAGGTCACAATGACTTTGTAGGTAAGAGGTTTCAGATCAATAACTGAAGAATGTTTAGGCTTAGGAACTTCAAACTTGGTTTGAGCATTGTTCATGACCAGTATATGACCCCTAATTTTGGGGTAAGGGGCCAAATGTCAAGGTCACATTGACCTTGTAGGTCAAAACGGTTTCCAATCAATAACTAAAGAACGCTAAGCCTAGAAACTTAAAACTTGGTATGATGATTAATCATGACCAGTATATGAACCGTATTGATTTTGGGTCACGGGGTCAAAGGTCAAGGTCACATTGACCTTGTGAGTAAAAACGGTTCCCGATCAATAACAAAAGGATGGTTATGCCTAGGAACTTAAACTTGGTATGATGATTGTTCATGATCAATATATTACCCCTAATGATTTTGGGGTCAAAGGTCATGGTCACAGTGACCTTGTAGGTTAAAACAGTTTCCAATCAATAACTTGATAAACCATAGGCCTATGACGCATGGGTTGTTGACCCTCAAACTTCGAAGGTGCCTTGCTTTTGACCAGTAGGTGACCCCTTTTGATGTTTGGGTCAAGGGATTAAAGGTTAAGGTCATATTGACCTTGTAGGTAAAAACAGTTTCCGATCAATAACTTGATAAGCCTAGGTCTTTGACACTCAAACTTCGTAGGTGCATTGGTCTTGACAATCAGATGACCCCTTTTGAGTTTGGGGTCAAAGTTCAAGGTCACATTGACCTTGTATGTTAAAAGGGTTTCCTATAAATAACTGGACAACCAATGGACCCTTGATCTTCAAACTTCACAGATGCATTGCTTTTGGTCAGAAGATGACCTCAATGGATTTTTAGGGTCAATGAGTCAGCCAGAGGCCAAGATCACATTGACCTTATAGGTAAAACCGCTTTCCGGTCAATATCTCATTTCATGGACCCTTTACCTTCAAACTTCACAGATGCATTGGTCATGGCCAGTAGATAACCCCTATTAATTTAACGGTCAAATGTCAAAGTCACATTGACCTTGCATGTAAAGTCGATTTCCGACCAATAACTAAAGTTGCCTTGGTTGATATTTTTATCAAACTAAAAATGCTTTTGGTATACACATTTCCAGGTCTTATATAATATTACAAATTGGCTGTCATTAAGGAGGCCTACATGATTCATTAAATTTATGCATATATTATTTGGTAAGACTTGTGATAATTTTTCATAAAATTGCTGATGGACATAGCCTTTGCGGTCACAATTACCTAGTGACTAGTCATGACAAGTAGATAACCCCTTTTAATATTTTGGTCTTTAGGTCAAAAGTCAGTCACAATAACCTGACCACATGACTAATTGGCTGCCGATAGGGGGCATACCAATTGGCTTCATAAGAAGTTTTATTTATTTATCTTTTGTTTTTAACTTTTTTAAATTTTATTTATCTATTTTTGTTTGTTCTTACAAAGTTGCTATAGCTTTGTAATTTATGATAATAATGAATTGCCCTCATACATAAAGACAACAGTCCTTTTGGGTAGACTGTCAAGTTGGTGAGAATTAAATATTGATCTTGATTCATAAATGACCTTTAAATTACTTTTTTATCATCCCTCATGTTCAGACTCTATCAAACCGAGTCTGCAATTTTCATGAAATTTTGTTAATTAATTAATGCTTCCGAGGGATCAATCTTTCTCCAGATATTTTTTATTTTACTTTCCAGATCTAGTTACTGATTAAAACATGATTTATGGTATTTTGTCATAATTAAGTACTTTAATATAAATGGCTTCAGATTTACTTAGTTATATCATGTTTCCTTTTCTTTTTTTCCCAAACTAATAGTTAACATGGGAACATCTCTGTCTTTATCAATAATAATCTCAGACTTAATACGGATTGAAAGTAGTTTTAGATGTTAACAAAAACAGAGTGTGAAATAATCATTTTAATGTTTAACGAAGGTATATATTTAACATCCAAAAGAAAGGTAAAAATATGATTGACAATATGTCAGGCAATCATAATCAGCTTTAAAATGCCCAGTGATTTACAATTAAAATATGAAAAACAAGATCATCAAGGAAGAGATGCATTTAATAAACGCACCCCCTACACATGACCACCGGCAAGAAGCCCAGCAGATCACCAAACAGGACGGGCACATAATATTATTGGTACCCTTCTAAATTCCAAAATGTTACTTTTAAATGTGTACGAGGTAAGTTTCCTATTATAACGTGTATGTGATGTTATTTTTTTAATGTGTTTATTTAAGGTCGCCGCCGGAAAGCCCATATGGGCGACCGTACACTCAAGTCGGGCCATCCTAAAGCGTCCCGCCGACATTTTTTCATCGTTTTGTTCCAGCCTTTATTGGTGGGAAAGACCCCCAGGTGCCCCTTCGGGCATTATAACAGGCACGAGCGGGCACCTGGGTACAACCACCGACCTTCCGTAAGCCAGCTGGATGGCTTCCTCACATGAAAGATTTCGACCCGAGTGAGGATCGAACCTACAGCGGTGAGGTACCTGTGATCTCAAGTCAGCGATCTTAACCACTCGGCCACGGAAGCCCCCCAGTTGGTTATCAAATTACGACACAGGGAAGGAAATACGGCGTAAAAAACAGCATTCACAATTTAAACTTACAAAATACGTATAATACATATTTCGTTCCGGATTTGTGCGTCAAAATGATATGTTTTACACTATTGATAAACACATAAGAAAATGGGACAAAGAATATTAGAATTTATACGACTATACCCCCAGCAGAGCTATTCAAAAAGTGTCTTCTTACGTCTGTAAAATAACCATTACTTTCCACGTGGATTTAATACAGTTGAAATATACGGTGTCCTGCTTGGGCCAGTTGAAGGTCTCCTTTTGACATGCTATTTTTTTTCTAAAGTCTTAATTACCCCTCTTTCTGTATTTTCATAGAAAAAGTGGCAATATTTTACATTCTCGCAAGAAACTTTTCGCGCTATACAACGTTGAATTTGTCTCATGCTTATACTTTCTCATACTTAAATCCCGGTGCGAATCAAAATGTAGAAATCTTCGCGATGATTAAAGCAGCACGCCACCAGATTCATGCTAATTTTCATGAAAGTTTTGAGAATGTATTTGAATGTTTAATATAAAAGAAGCAATTTACACATTATCAATGACACTTACAGCCCATGTAAATTACCAAAAAGTGGTCAAAATATGCATAAATATGCCTTACTGCGTTAGTAACGCAATAGAAATATAGTTAACTTGTGAATACTGAAAAATCAGTCCTTAATTGTAAAACATGTATCACTTGAATCTTGCATCATTTTACTTTTCCTTAAATCATAGTACACATTTCTGGGGCCCGTCTTATGAACGATCGTACGATTATGAAAATCTCTGCGACGTTTGATATCGTACGACCGTTGATAAGACAGGCCCCTGATGTTTGATTTCATTGAAATATTTTGACTCATCTTGAGGCAAGCAGCTTTAACCTTAATTTTCGCATGTTTCTTTCGAGAACTTTAACTTATTACCAGTGTCAATAGTGAAAAGTCTTCGAACGAGAATGTTAAATCTCCCTAACTTATCTATTAACAAGAGCCAGTGCGTTTGACTAGTCTCAGTGCTTGATAGTGAAACAAGAGCCTGAATAATGTAAAAAAAATATCTTCAAAAATTGCCGTAGTTCTGTCAAAATTCACAATTTCAATAGCTCTCCTTATTTCGTGAGTAGCCGAGCTAAAACAAGAGATATCGTAACAGGCGATATTTTAACTGCCTCAAAAAACTGACGGGAAATTGTAGCGAACCATAGCGCAACTCATGGGTAAATTCATTTCAACAAGAAATGAATCAAATAAATTGGATGGTCATTTCCAGGAACATTGTAACTGTTGATTTTAGCATTGACGAAACAAACATTTACTGTCCCAGCCAACCCCCAACACCCCCCCCCCCCCCCAAAACAACAAATCATCGGCCATATACAGCTGATTATTGCGTTAAGCTAAGCATGTGAATAAGGAAACTTACCAAATTTGGTCCGCAAAACATGTCAGAGTTGAATGACATAAAATATCTTTCTGATAAAGGCAGCCATTTTCACAGTGTTTCATGAATGAAAGTGAATTCTGTCCGATTGAAATAAGTGCACGAAAATTCCGTGCGAATACAATTTGCTTACTAAAGCTAAAAGGCCATGCAAATATTTTCTAGTTTTATATTTTCAACGTGAACATACATTTAATTTCAATAAGATCTATTTATAATTAAATGTAAGTCGGATACTGTTTCTCGTTTTTTCTTCAAAAGTGTCTTCTTACAGACGTGAAGAAGACACTTCGCTAGGACAAAACAACAATTTATGCTCGGCTTCGCCTCGAACAATTTGTGTTTATCCTAGCAAACTGTCTTAATAATTACGTCTGTAAGAAGACACTTTTGAAGAAAAGCTCGTACTGTATCCATTACATAAATTTACCATTGTAGCCATGTAATGTACATGCAAAAATAAGTCATTTACATGAATGGAATTTTTACTAAAATACCCTTCCATATTTTTCTATCAAACACATTATCACTTATCTAGAAGACGACGTATACAAGTTGGCAGGTTTTTAAACTTCAAAAAGCGATTGGCAGTTAAACAGTCAACCTTTGTGCAGGAGAGTCACAAAGTTATATCCAATCGACTATTTTATATCTAAAGTTGAATTATTTGACTTTGAAACATAAAAAATATTTTAGAATTTACCTTATATTGTCCACATATGAACACAAAATCCGTTATGACTTATCCGGTTCACTATGACAGCATTAAGTTAGTATATAAAGTTATCCTATTGACGTTATTATAACTTCCTTTTTAAAACTTAACATTTTCGTAGCCTGACGGTTAAACAGGTTTTTTACATCATAGAAGAAGAAGAAGAATCTTTATTTTGCAAATTAACTCTCAAAAGAGTCATGTACAAGCATTCATGATATATACAATTACATGTATGCATAAGTAAATAACTAATTACATAGCAAGATGACGTGACTGCAAGTATTTCTTTTCTTTCATTATTAATGGTTACCATTGATTATATATTTAATTTACAAGTTATTTACTTTTTGAGAGATTCTCCATTCAAATATATAATAATAAGAAATACTTCGTGTATGTATTACACTTGCAATCACGGGAGAGACATTGTCAGCATCTATTACATAGTATACTTTAAATTATCTTCCATACACTGGTCTTTGTAGTACATTTACTAATCTAAGCTATATGGTTTTGATTTTGCAATAGTAATATGGCACAAAATATTGAAATTATACAAACAAAACAAAACAAATGTTACTTCTAAACTATACATTGAACACATATAATGCTTCAAACTTGATACAAGGAAGACCAGTGTATGATTTGAAACTTACAAATTTAAAGCCTTTATAATCATCGTGTTACTTAACCTATTATACATATAATACACAAAGAATTGCAATGTATCAATAATACATCTATATACAATTACATGACAGCTAATATTCGTACATTACACATATAGACGTACAATACAATGTGTCAATTACCTTCTGTGTACGTTTGCATGGGGCTAGATATTCGCATAAAACATATATATAGAACTTTAAATTAAACATTTTGTACCTTTACACGAGAATTGTTTGTAACTGTTTTCTAATATGGAAGGCATGGTATATAAACATAGCTAAATTTCTAATATCATGTACATTATCGCTTGTAATCAACTGAACAAATTTAAGCATGCTAGGAAACCTCCAGTAATATTTCTTTAAAAATCTTGTTCGGAGTTCCTGATAAATAGGACATATGATGACAAAATGGAACTCGTCCTCTAATTGATTACATGTTACACAGATTCTATCAATTACACGCACACTGTGTGGTTTTCTCCATCTACCCACCTCTATTTCTAGACGATGAGAAGACATTCTTAAACGTGACATAGCTATTCTATACTTTTTAATATCAACAATATCTAAATATCTACTAAAAACTGAAATCATTGAAAGCGTGGTAAAATAGTGCTCTGGAAGAATTACTGATTCGGGCATTTAAATCCTGTTTCCATGTGTCTCTAACTCTTTGGTTAAATACATTAAGAAAAATTTTAACATGCGGAACTATATATAAACCTTAGTGATACTTTTAATAACTTTTAATTTTAATAATATAAGCCAACTTCATGCTTTAGTGACCCCGTGATAAACGTATTGCTCCATATAGGGTACGGGTTTACAAGTACTAGTTGTATTTGCAAGTTATATGTACAATTGTAAGGGGAATTAAATGGATCACGGGACAGGATGTAAAAGGATATAGTTATCAGTCATTTTCAGACTCACACGAGTCAGATTACACGAAGATCAACAGGGGCATAGCCAGCTTTTCTCAACTTGTAGGCTCATAAAAGGGGGTCTGGGGGCTTTGTCCTGGGAAGCCAAAAACAAGTTCAGATTAAAAAGAGCAAAATGCACGTTCCAAAGTACAAATGTATGTTCAAGGAAAATTATCAAAACAATAATATTAAACTATGAATTTGGTTAGATGCATACTTTATTAAGGATGGTAAATCATGCGCACACACTTGATTCGACTATACGGCTTGAACTCACTACCAACTCCACTCTCGCCTGTTTTATTGTATTTTTGGGACTTTTGAAAATGTTAATTTCTTAACCAACTTGTAGGCCCGTGCCTTCATGGTCTAAGTGAGAAAGTCGTTCACGAACGCAAAGTCTATGGCAGAAAGGACCATTGGCAGCTGTTCAAGTGGAAAGCCCTTTGGCAGCTCGGCTTAGGGAATGACGCCTAGTAGCTTGACCACGCCAAATGTTCTCAGAGTATTCTTGCTAATTTCGGTCTTCAGTTTTGTCTGTTAGGAGGAAAGACCTTGATACCCCAGCTGAGGATAATGAGTGTAGGAAACAATTATTTTATATACTGAGTTGGAAACAGTTTTATCCTGACAGTGTGCCAATTTGGTCAAGCTTGTCGCCAGATACAATGCCTAGGTGCCTTTGATTGGAGCTTAAAGATGTTAAAGTTTATTCAGTACGCCGTACCGGTGGTCAAATTGGGTGCGTTATGCTGAGCGTGAGAAGACAAAGCTTTAGATTATCATTTTACCTTTTTCACCGAACAAAGCCTCAGGTTTATCATATCAGAAAGTTCAAGTATACGATAAACCAGAGGCTCGGTTCGGTGAAAGAAATCTGAACAGAGGCAGCTCAAGTACAATTTTATTAAAATTAAGCTTTTCAAATCACTTGATGATTCTTGACGGGTTATATGCCTTAGCCGGAAATGCCTTAAGAAGTGTGAAATTTGTTCATTCGAAGAAAAGATAACTCTCCTTTCATCTTAGACACTATTATGTAACTTGAAAATACAACTTGAAAAGGTTTTTACGATATATTCAGTAAAGGTCATAAGGTGGCTTTATGGGGATTTAATGGTTGCAAGATTGGCTCGTAATTAATCATAAAAATTCTAGTGTGTTGTCCCAGAGGGAAATTTCAGCGACTAACGGGGAGGGTATAGCGAAAATGGGATCCATGCACTTAAATTGACGGACTTGAAGAATACAAATTATCTGTGTGTTTGTCAATGAAATGCAACGTTGATACGATTTCGTAGGCAGATAACTGATCTCTTTGGACACCTGCCTGGTTTCAGATTAAATGCACTACTGAGAGTGGTCAAAACATTTCTAATAAAATGAACCTTGAGAACGAACCAGAAAATGTGAGGCTTATGAGGAATCATCATAGTAATATAACAAGTCATATCTGGTCAGTTAAGTTCACGTAGCCTTTGGAATATTACAGCAGAACAGTGGTGTACGTTGTGTTATTTCCATTTGTTGAAGTTAAGAAGATATCAAATTTAAGTTGCATAAAAAGGTAAATTGTATCAGAGACATAGATAACAGAGATAGGCAACTTCCTAGCCAGTTAAGATATCATAGGTGCTTGCTAACCAGCAAGTGAAACTTATTAACCAAAAACCAAAATCAGTAAAATAATACATTTTCTGGCCATGGCTACAGGTAAACCATTTGAATAAATGATACATCAATTTTTGAAAAGAACTACTTATTAACGTTTGTTTAATAACTATGCATATGACGAAAGACTGACTGAGTGGATATGTTATGCTATATTATCTTAAGTGAGAGGCATAGAAAGTAACCAATATTTTAACATGCAGCAATAGATAAAAGATTTCACTTTCAAATGGTGTATATGAATCAAATCTACATCCATGAAGTTATAATTTTTATAACATGCCTAATTTTTCACTTTTTGATAGACACGAGTGATATTTCAATGGAGAATATAGGAGCTTATCTCCTACTCTGTTTATATTTACTTTCGAAGTGTATAGAAGGGAGGTTACTTAAGCAAAATGGATTTCAATATTATGTAACTTACCTGGGTCTTGTAAGGTGTGTATAAATATCAGGCCATTTGTTTGAATAGAATTTTAAGATAACAACTTTCTTAACCATATTTTTTCAAAGATCTTAAGAGTAATTAACTTAAGAACATAAATGTAGCTTTGTATTGGTGGTGTGTATAGAAAATGTTTGCAAAATATCTATTGCAAAGACTATCCAAAAGCTAAAGGACATTAAAACAATAAATATAGGTTAAGACAATCACTTTAATGAAGCTTCACAGACAAAATAATTATCACAGTGATTTAAATACAATAAAAATAAATAAAACACATGTCTACAATATTTTCGTCCACTTAAACAGAAGAAACGTTACTATGATGAATAGGGATGAATAAGGACATTGTACAATGTATTAACTTAAAGCTTACCAAGTCATCTAAACTGAGAGTGACATGCCACAAACTTCTCCATGGCAATATAAATATGCCATTTTTCTCTCACAGAATAACATGGACGGAATCAATAAACATATTTCATATATCAATTACCCATCAACAATGTCAATACTCAATAATAGGACATTAAATAATGCATGTAAAAATCATCAATCCCTTAAACTTGCCTTTGCCAGAATACACACCATTTTTCAAATTTTTGAACTTCAAATATGTGACCTTATTGTTTCCATACAATAAGACAGAAAGTTTAATCTGATCAAGATAAAAGTTTTTTCTTCCAGTACTTTAAATTATTGTGTCTGTTCAAAGAATTGCACTAATGTTTGTAGATCATAATTGTCCAGAACTTCAAGTAGAGCTGGTACACGCCCCTTCATGTTCTGACCTTTGAACTTAAATTTGTCTATGAACAAGTCTGTGATCATACCTGAAAACACAACATTCTTACAATTACATTCTTAATTTTAAGCTTTTACTTTTGTTATGAAATCCTAACAGAAAATAATTAAGTGTAACTACATGAATTCATTTAATAAGAAAATAGGAAAGTCTGCTTTGACAACTAAGGTAACATGCGAAAGCCTAAAAACTTAAAATATGAAAATACTACATAGATCAACTGGGGCACTTATGAATAAGAAATATATCAAGGATTAAATTTAAAATCAATATGAAGTGACATCACAAAAAAGTCCTGTTGAATCCCTTTAAATGTTGATTCTGAACCAAAAGATTCAATTTTTTAGCACATAGTCATAATTAACAGCTAACATTTTCACACAATAAGTTTTTCATTTTTGAAAATTTCAATAAAATTAATACAGTTAGTCCCATAATCTGAATATTCCACACAATTTGAACAACATCATTCAAGAAACATATAAATCATTATTGAACTGTCTTTAGAAGGCAAAACTTACAGTAAGA